TTTGTTCCTCCTCCATTGTGCTGTCATGTTGCTCAGCTTTATAGACATTCTGAGCACCAGCTCTGGCCTCTTCGCTTCCACCTGGTCTACCTAATTAATTAAGCAAGGAAGTTACCTCAAATTTTTGTACTATTTGTTTTTATTATCATGCACTTCTTTTGATGTTCCAGGAGTTAACGTCTTAATCCACAGACTCTGTGTGTTGTGTTCTGAACATTTTGGGATGTCTGGATAATTTGGATAATTGGTCAGGATGTTGCTGTCGCTCATGTTAAACTTTATGCCATGACTTCAAGTTCAAAGATCAGTATTAAGGTAAAATACTTCATAAAGCCTTTTTAAAACTCTACACTTGTGATTATGCAATACCTAGTTATTCCAGTTTCTCACGGTGGTAAATTGTACTATTTGTACTTTCTTACAAGAAAATTAATCCTAAACATCTTTATCTTTGTCAGCTTCAAACAAATACAAATTTCAGTTGAAGTTACAACAAGAGAAAGCATATTTTAAAGGTCAAGAAAAGGTATAGCAATTATCTCCTCAAAAATGCTTGCCTCCTCCACACAGCAGCACACATGTAATTTTCTGTGCAGTCTGTTATCACACATAGAAATATCAGCACTGTGAACTACAGATGCTCAAGTGCAAATAGCACAATTTTCCTTTTTTGGGGGGAATGATAAAGAATGAGGTTAATTCTGACATTAAGAAACATAGTTGGCACCTTTGTTTCATAACTGTAGTACAGGATTTGAAAAGGCCAGTGACAAAGAACTGAAAGAATATCTAAACAAGAAATATAACTTCATGCAAGAATATAGGAAGATATGAAAAAAATTTTAATACCTATGCAGGAGATGAAAGTTATTTCAGGTACTCGAATACCTCAGCTAAGAGCAACGACTAAGGTGTAATACATCACAGTGACTTCCAACTACTTCAGTAGTCTTGAAAACCTAAGTCACATGAGTGCATGAAAATACGTATGTGTGTGTAAATACACACATGGCATGTACATGTATATTCACAAAGATATACATATACCCATACATATATTATACACCTCCAATATTACTTTTATAATTATTTTCCTGATAACAGAAGTCTGCAACTGCCATTAAATGGAAATAAACTATAGCAAGAAAGAGCATTTAAACTCTTTAAAAGGGCATGGTCAACCCCCTTAGGCCCAAAATGCCCTTTTTGAATTAACATAGTGGTTTTAATTAAAAACTAGGCAGAGAATCAGTCTGATTTTCAGTACAACACTGCATCCGTCCATGGTGAGTGCCTAATTTCCGTATTTCTCTCCTCTGCACAATATGCAAGTCCTTGGTTGTTTCAAACTGTTGCCCTGGGGAATCGAAGAGACTCTATAAGAGGGGCCATGTGCCATTTAGAAAGTATACTAGCAACCAAGAAAAAAAAGCCATAGTAAATTGGAAGATGGTTAATCAAACCCATTCTGATTCATGAAACAGTTAAGGGAGCAATACTTCCTTACAAGAACACAGAAAGAAAATTTATACAAAGTTCGTAACAGTAACCTATGAGCCATCTGAAATATCATAGTTTGCAAAAAGTTCATGTTACAGTGAATACATAAAATCAACTTTTATAGCATAATCTACGATAAACAGTCAAACAGATGGCTAAAAATTTGGGGGGTTAGGCCCATATGTGATAATGACTAACATTACTGTCGCAATTTAAGCAGAACAAATAAATCCACTAAAAAAATTAAAAATCCATTCAATTTAACAACTGAACATCTTTTAATAATTCATTTTCAGAACTTCTGTTAAAATCCAACAAGTAATTCTTACATGAACACCTCAAATAGACATATTGACTGTGCACACCTAAATCTCAAGTGACCTATTTATTCATTATAATGAAAGTAATCCTATGACAAATTCAAGATGACCTGCATAGAAGCTTCCAGTGGGACAGATATTTTTATCCAAATTTTGAGCTAAGCTGGGTATCTAGAATCAACTGCTTTCCCTACTCCTTGTATCCAATGCCCAACTGTAAGATTAGATATTATATATTCTGTGCCAAACTTCCTTATTGAATGTCTTCACATTTACAGTAGATAGATCATCCTTTGAATGCTGCAAGTTTTGCCAAATGTATGAAATGTTCTTTTAAATTGATATCACTAAAACCCAATTTTGACAGTTAACAGTCATAGCATTTGAATGACGTTTAGTCTCTCTAGTCCATTAGTCTGACATGATGAATGACAAATATGAAAATTTTTTTTAATTTGCACAAGTAGAATCCAAACTGAAATAATTTGTTAAAGTACCAGAAATCTACAAAGTAAGCATGATCTCAAAATTTTCTCTGAAAAGAGGTGAGCAATGTGTCAGAAACTAAGGAAAGTAAGAAGAGATGAGAAGTAGCCTTCACAGATTCTAGAACTGAAAAGTTTACATGTAATCCTGAGTTCAATTACCCATAAATTTTTCCATATTTTAATCACCCCATTATGTGATCCAGTTGTTTAAAATATACATATAGTACTTACTGCAACTAGAATCATTTATCTGCATCAAAATCTGAACAGAACAGCACACTCAATTTTAACTATCAACTTAGGACAGAAGTGACATTTGCCACTTACTTTAAGAAAAGTGATCAAAGACAAGGTATGTTTATATTAAAATGGACTACAATTCCTACATCTTTACCAACAGCGTTAGGGCTCACTCAAATCTGGTAAAACAATTCAGTACATCTGCATCCATTTTGGATACTTTTAAATAGAGGAGCCAGATAGAACAGACATTGGACAAAGGTCTGGAGTACTTGTACTAGAAATCACACTTGGCTTCTGGGATGCACCCAAAACACCCAGGAGAAGTCAAAGTAACAAAAAAATCCCAAAATTGGGTTCCCCCCCCTTGAAATAGGTGGGTTCTGATACTAAAATCTGATTTCATCTACCCCCATGAAGAAGCAAAACTACTCTAAAGCACCAATCATCTTTTTCCTGACATCTGCAGACAGATTATGGTTCTATCTCATCTGGAGCTACAAACGCTCCCAGAGTGTAAACATGCGAGGGTGATCCTATTTATCTTGAATGGGATTTATTGATAGCCAGCATCATAAATTTGAAAGTTACTCTGGAACTATTAAAGTTTTATGTAAAGTGCAAGTTTAATGCAGCTGGGATACATAATGCATCGGTTGGAGTCAAGATATCTACAAGTCAAAGGGACACACCAGTAATATCATACATGGTACGCTACCGGAGAAAATCCTTGGTTTTGGTTGGACTGCAGGAGACAAACCCCACTAAAATCAATTAACTGATTTCTTTTTTAGAAGAAAAGATATACATTAGCTGTGGCTAGATACTTAGAGCCAAAAGAAAAATGGAGTGCCCTCCACTTGAAAATTCAATGAACAAGATGAGTTGCTAAAAGTTTTCTTAGCCCTATAGACAACAGAAGTGAAGGAAGGACGGTGTTTCCCAGAAAAGTTGGTTAAGTGGAGTTAAACATAGTGGCCCATCTCCAAACTCTTTTGAAGTTGAATCCATTAGCTTGGTCATCCAAACTTGTAACTGAAGTAACCTGGATACACCTACATTTTGGCCAATATACAGTAACTCTGCAGTAGCATCAAGGAGCTCAGAACAGGCTACACCAAAGTACATACACACCTGCAAGAGGGGTCCTGCAGCTCCTGACACAGCTATATTGCCCAGTCGATGTAACTTCCCAGTAGCTTCAGCTATAGAATAAAATCTCTGCTTCTTCACATTTTTCTCCCCAAATTAAAATTTTCCTTTATGCTGTACTTTCTAAGTATTTTTTTATGCTGTCCTCTGTTTTCTCTCTTAATTGTCTTCAAGAACCCTAAAATCCCAAATTGAATGTAGTGTTTCAGCTGAGTTTTCCCCAATCCCACCGAGAACAAAAATGGCAACTTCACTGCCACCATGCAATCCCTGTCAATACAACTAGGAATTATGTTTTCCTTCCCACCACAATCATCCCCGTGTTGATTTAAGTTATGTGCAATCCACCAATGACTCACAGCATTTTGTATCCATCTTTAACGCATTTCATTTTCCTGATTTCAGACCACTTTTGAAGATCCTTTGCTTTCTAATAACTGCCATCTAAAGGGCACAGAATTCCCTCGAGTGCAGTATCATTAAAAACAAAAGTGTAATCATCTGGATGAAAAAGATTAATGAAAACGTGCTACAATTGGTCCCCAGACAGTCATTCCAGTGTAATTTATTTGATATTTACGATTTGAAATTCATTTTGCTGTGCCTCCCATTATAGTAATTTTTCATTATATTTCTTTAGATCACATATTAATATAATCGTTATCATCTTACTGTTCAGGAATTGCTTTGCCAAATTCCATGCTTCGCTGAAATACTCAGCCCTCTCAAATATATTCAAATAAGTTGAATATTTTTAGTTATTTTCTACTTATTTAACAGTTTTCCTAACATATTATTTTTAAAACTGACCACACTTGAACATTTTTGGGAATGTCTGTAATCTTTAGAACTACAAATCAAGCCTGTTTTCTCTGGGTCATCTGTTATTTAATCACACTTCCCATGAGTAAGAAGCCTGTACTTCTTTCGCTTGTTACTTCTAGTGTATTTATTTGTATTTATTGAACCTTCTCTCCTTTAAGCATCCCAAGAAAATAATAAAAAAAAAAAAATGAACAAAGCATTTCATTTAAAAAAGATGAGTTAAACAATTTTCTTGATCTCCATATACATGGCTTTTCAAAGACTTTTTTTTCCCCTTAAGCTTACTCATAGCTACGCACTATACACTCACTGCACCTGCTTGTGAAAGGACACACATCTGTATATACACATTCACATAAACATACACATCCCAATGCCAAATCCTCCCAAATTTGTAATTTCAGTTTCATCAGAAATGAGAGCTAAAAATTTAATGTATATTGTAATTACTCTGTATTTAGCGGTATTTTCCTACCTTTTTTAAGCCAGCAAATCCTTCTGATTCCAGAAAGAAAAAGGCAAAGGGCATCAACACAAACAAACATAAATTCGAAAAAAGAGAAGCTAGATTCCACAAACCTGTAACAAAGAAGAAAAAGCGTACATTGTAAGTTTCTCAGCCTAAAGTTAAATATATTACATTTTCCACCCTTACATATAACAATGTAGTATACTTATTAGTGCTAACAGAAATTAGGTTCTTATGGAAACATAGTTATTTACAGGCCATTGATGAAAAATATCCATTTCCCTGCATAGTGATCTTCAAACAAAAACTGGATACCAATTTAAACAGTAGCAAATGGCTGAAGTCTTGGAAGACAGATTCCCAACTCCAGTGGACTACTTCCATGATACGCCAATTGAAGGCTCTTTAGATAACCATTTAAAAAGTTTTCAGAACAAAAGTATTTTACTACTATCAGTGAACTTCACAAAATTCAGTTCTGCGTAGTCACTTCTTCCCATCATTTTTCAAGAGAAACTTAGACAAATCATGTATTTTAGCATGAGTAATACACAAATGTCATCATCACCTCCAAATTAGAAGGCGGCATCATGGTAACAGTAACAGCAGCCTTCCACAATGAGATGACTTGTTCAGCAGGCAAGAGAAGAGCAGTGGATGTTTAGTAAGGCTTTCAACATCATCTCCCATCAATCTCCTCATAGTCTAACTAACGAGGGATGGGCTAGGTAAGTGGACTCTGAGGTAGACTGAAAAATGGCTGTGCTTCTGGGTTCAGAGGGTTCTGACCAGCAGGACAAAGTCAGGCTGGAAGCCAGTCACCACTAAGTCCGTTAGCTACCCTCCCTGGGCTATTACATCTTCATTCATGACCTAGATGATGGCAGAGTACATCCTCAGCAAGTTTGCTGAAGACACAGGATGGGGAGGTGCTGTGGCCTGCCACTCAGATGAACCTCAACAGGCTGGACAAATGGGCAGAGAGCACAGTGGGGACCAAACATCCCACGAGCAGCTTTGCAGAAAAGGCCTTAGAGGCCTGTCGGACACCACGCTGAACACAAGCCAGCAGTGTGCCCTTGCAGCAAAGGCAGCCAACAGCATCCTGGGCTGCATTAGGAGAAGTGTTGCCAGCAGGTCGAGGGAGATGATCCTTCCCCTCTGCTCAGCACTGGTGGCACACATCTGGAGCACTGCATCCAGCTGTGGGCTCCTCCATACAAGACAGATATGCCCATACTAGAGCGAGTCCAGCAAAGGACCATAAAGATGATTAAATAACTGGAGCATCTGTCACATAAGAAGAGGCTATAAAAATTAGAATTGTTTAGCCCTGAGAAGAGAGGACTCAGGAGATTTTATCAATGTATATAAACATCTGTTGAAGAAGGGAGAAAGGAAAACAGTCAGACTCTTCACAGTGGTTTCCAGTGAATGGAGAAGATGCAATGAGCATGAATTGAAAAAAATAGAAAACCTGCAACACTGCAAGAGGTTGCCCATAGAGGTTTTGTAATCCTCATCCTTCAACATATTCAAAACCCAAACGGGCACTGCCTTGAGCAGCCTTCTCTAACTGGCCCTGCTTTGACAGGGGGGTCAGACTAGACTATTTCCAGAGGTCCCTCCCAACCCCAACCATTCTGTGATCTAGGTGAAAAATCAACAACTGATTAAAACCAGGACATCTGCAAGACACATGTGACATCTGCAGGAACAGAAAAGGTTTAGAAAACAACCCAAAGTGATAACTGATCTCCATTAACGGTATCTGCTCTATTAAGATTTTTCTAAGCTGAACACTTTGTGAAAAGCCAGTTTCTGGTGCCTAAACATGAACTCATCATCAATCATCCTATCAAAAGTTGTGGAGGATGCAGTCTTCCTTCTTTATAAAAGCAGAAGCTTACCTGCAATTTAGTAGCTAGCAGGTTTAAATAACGTCGTATGTTCTGCATCATGAAAACACCGCTTTTATTTTGTAGTTGAGAAAAACAGGCTTAGTCCTCTACCTTCCCCAAAACACACACATTTCCACAGTTCTGCAGGACTATATTGTATCACATGGAATGCAAAAATGGAACATCCCCCATGATAAGAATATTTGAACTAACAGTTTTATTTCTTTCTTCTCACTTACAGGCTTGTTTGTTTTCTTCTTTGAAATTGTCCATTTTGGAAAGAACAAGGAAGGAAAGAGTCACTTACTGGATGTCACCATATATACTTCTTTTTTCCTTAAGTTAAACTAATTAAATATCAAGGAGAAAGTAAAACAAAGGGAGAGGAGAGAGGTGGGGTGCCAAATCTACTTCATCAGCAATTGATAGTACCAGGACACTGGGAACCAAACTTAGCCAAATAAGCTACAGAAAACAAACCAAGAAAATTCCAAAAGATGAGTGAAATATAATACTCGATTGCTAATGAAAACAGACTGCCTAAAGGTGGCTAAACTCCAGTTAACAAAGAGGGGGATTTTTCCTTTTGAATTTGCTTAGCCAGGAAGCTCGTGTTACCATTCAAGAAACATTCACGCATAGCAACATCAGCAAGAATGTCATTAACAGCCCTTACTAGGGGTACACTTACTCAAGCAGTCTGCGCACTTTTTTTTTTTTTTTCCAGAAAATTAGGACACCAGTGTTAGAGTAGAAATACTATTAGATGGGGGTGTGGGTCTTAATTCAGCAGTTTTCTCTAACTGAAGACAGTGCGTTCAGTTACCCAATGAAAAGCTCAATACCTGGTTGTCCTAACTTCAGCAGTTCAGCAGCTCTACTACTTGTATATCTACAATGTAAAACAGTACTTAGGAGCTGGATAGTATGTACAGAGCATTTTAAGGGAGAAGAGAGTGGTGCACAATCAGGGTGATTTTTAAAAAGTTCAAATCCAGAAATTTACATATTAGCAGCTGATAAGAACCACATTTACAGAATATCAAACTACAGAGCCACAATATGTATGTAAAGTTATGAGAGGTAAGGACAGTGCTGTACTGCTGCTGACATATATATACATCTTCCTCAAAGTCAGGAACATACAGAGCCCTGTTCTCCCCTACCACATTTCTTATCCTAATTTGACAGTTCTGAAATCAAATTAAAATAATCCCAGAAAAATATTTATTTCCTACTACACATTGACTGCATCATAAAATTACATGAGACAGAACTGTAGATATTAACATGTATATAAGCTTTAAATCGTCTACTGGAATATTTTAATTATTTTTGCATTTGTAGCGACCTGAGAATATCCCCCATAAAACAAGTTAATAAAACATTAAAATTAAAAATCTCTCAGTCTTTGGCACAGAGTTTAGACCCTCATCAATTTTTTGCACTTCTTATTCATGGCAGTTTCATTACATTTTACCCCCACCTGGTGGTTGTATCCAACAACAGCACAGGTGAACATCCAGTTGTCAGAAGTATTTCTGGGTTTAATTCAACATGCATTAGCTAAGAGTATTTATACCGGAACCAAGCATGGCCTTTCTTCCTAGTTTCAAAAATCAGAGGCACATATTTTCTATGTGCCACAACTAATGCAACAGTCTACAGCATAAAAATCCGTAATGTTACATTCCAGTACCTCAGACTATATCTGTAATTGATAAATCCAGCAAAACCAAGGTGTTTTAAAGTAATGAGTTTTCCCATTTGATAACATGTGCAAAGCAGTAAGCAAAACGTACATGAAGGATATGCTAGACAGATTATTATGGAGATATGAACACTTTCTGAACTTGAGTGCTTGTGATAGCTTATGACAGCACTAACAGCTCTCAAAACTTACACAGGTATTTCACAACTAACTCCAAAAAGGTACTGCCACTACATGGTATAGGTGTTTAAAGAGCAGCGCAATGTTACTGTGCAAACCTAGCGAATACCACGAGAGGGAGCCCTTGTCCAAGGTAATATTTTGAAATAAAGTACAGTGATTTTTGTCACACTGCAGTAATAGAAGCCCATGGTCAGATCCAAAAATCTACTGATGTTTCTGAAGTCTTCACACCAACTGTGGTAAAGCTTGGTTTAGTTCAGTTATGTCTACTTCTAGTATAAGTTCTGCAATGCAGAGTCAGACTTGGAAAGACCAAGATGCTAAATTTACTTCCTTGCTAGTCATTACTGTTGGACTTAGGAACTATAAATTATACCGTGTATGCATAAGGTGGTACTTTCAAAAGATTATCACATGAAAATCAGAAGCTAGTCACTGGAAAATTCAAAGGCCTTCCTATGTGACAGCTACTTTTTCCAGCAGATTTCTAATTAGCCCAAGTTTTCTCAAGTACTGTAGCAACTCTAACAGAGTAACAATTTCTGAAGTGATTATTATATGATTTTCACTCTCTCAAATATTTATGTTAATTTTTCCAAAGTCAATTCAGACACAGAAGGAAGGTTTATTTTCCCTTTTTTTTTTTTTTTTAAATGTTTGGGAGTAAAGAATATAAATCTGTCTGAGCAGCTAAGTCCATGTGAAAAATGAGAATTAGCTGGGGTTTTTCCTTCCATGTAGGAGACATACCAAATTAGCAATTCCCCATGATGTGTGACAAAACAGATCACAGAATAACTCAACTCGAAAGAAACTCTGAAGTCATGTAGTCTGATCCACTGCTTAGAACAGCCAAACTGCAGGTGCAATCAGGTTGCTCAGGGCTTTAGCCAACTGAGTTTCAGAAAACTTCCAAGGATTTAGATCTCCCAGTCTCTCTTGACAACCTTTTACAGTGTTCAACCACCCCCACTGTGAAGAAGTGTTGCTTTATGTCCTGCAATCATTGCTTCTTGCCTCTCACTGCATGCTCCAAAGAAGCTGGCTCTATACAAACCACACACCAGTTGCAAATCCAGCTGTGCCCTGGCTTTCCTAATAATCACACCAGGATATTAACCCAGGTGATATTTCTATGCCCCTCCCAGGCAGTTCATCCCTACTTCTACCTTCTGTATACTTCCTTTTTGGTTTTGAGCCGAAGAATTCCCCATTAAGCCAAGTCGACCCCTCATTACATGTGCTCATTATGGTTCTTGAAGGTTATCCTTGAAAGAAAGTGTCTCTCCCAGCTTCCTCTGCCTTCAGAGCACTCTCCAGTAAGGTCCCACATACACATTTCTGGAAGAGAACAAAGTCTACTCTCTCAAAATCTTATGTCTTTAATACTACTATTTTCCTTACTTACTTTCCTCAGGTCTTAAACTACCCTATCACCACAGTCAGGGTCACCATTGACCACCACACCTAGTCAGCTCCTCCTTATTCATGGGTTTAAAAAAAAAATAATATTTTACTCTTAACACAAAAAATAATCAACTAGTTTCAGAAAGATGACAGACAATATGCATTATTTCCTGTCTTCACCTGGCCACATTTAATTTGCTATAAACTTCTTTAATCTACATACAAAAAAAAAAAAAAAAAAAAAAAACACAAACAAACTTTGCAAGTTAGAGATCTGGACATTCATGAATTTCCTATGCATGAATATTCTAAGAAATTTAGCAAAAAGTGTATATTTTTCAGAGAAAAATCCCCCAAAGCTCAATTACTCTCTCTTCACAAGAACAGGAAAAGGACAGCACAGTTAACTTGTAAATTATTAAATAAATTGTTTCACATAGTGAAGGTACTATCTCCCCTTCCTCCAGTCAAATGTACAAAAGAATGTCCTGTCTCCACCGCTTATTTCCCTCAGATACATAGAAGTGTCCAAATTATTTTCAAATATTAGTACCCATTATACATGTCATAGACATAAGCATATTAACCAATATTGGACAGTATGCAAAACTCACTCTGGCAGATACCAAAGCATCGCTGCTGCAAGTAGAAGTAATACTGTTTTCTTGCATCTTGTTTTCCTTTAAATAGTTTAATTTTATTCTTCCTCTTTACCACACTTGATACACTTATATTCTATAATTTTCCTTGTTTACAAATAAATCACAAACAGTTGAATTTAACAATTTAACTCTCTAATCCCAACTGCTCATAGGTAGCAAGTTTCTTAAAACAATTTTATTGTGAGAATGAATTTATAGGTATCACCATAGATAGGCTTACACATCTTGAATTAACACATGAGGAAGAAGCTTGCACAGTGTGTTTTCAAGTTACCTTCTAGTAGCTCTTATTCTACATTACTATTCAAAGCAGTGAATTTGGTTTAATTCCATCAAGTCTGCATAATTCTTTAAAAAAAAAAACAACAGAACAGTTAAGACAGACTTTTGTTATATATCACATAGAAGCAAAACCAACTAGCCAATAACATATTAACAATTCAATTAGCATCTTGAATGAAAATAGTTATTGGTTTGAAAAGAACAACATTTCAGTACATGTGTAATGAAGACATCCATTTTAATGACATTATGCTGAGTACTAACCATGAATTAGTGAGCCATTTAACCACTGAATATAGTAGTTTTGTGGAAAAGAAAGCAGGATCTCATTGCTGATTATTGAGAAAGGTAGAAGCAGGACTGCACCAGCTGAAACTGCTAGAGTGAAGGTGCTCAAGAACAGCCTGGAATTTAAAGAAATGTACCACTGTTACCACCAACATGCTCTGAACAAGGGAAAAAAAAAAAGTTGTTAGCCTACCTATCAATCAGAGTCTGAAGACAACACATTCTTACATTGTAAAGGGGCAGAAGAAACTTATTTCCATAATATTTCACTTCCAAAAAGCAAATTTCAAATACCAAGTAGTTTACATAATCCAGTAAAAATAATTAGTTTTAACCAAGTACCACAATTATTCTATTGGGACTTGCATGCATTCAATTCCAATGTCACATACAAGCTAAATTATTGGAGTTCATGGAATATCTTTTCATAAGTCTCCTATTTTACTTTCCTACTCAGAATGAAAAAAAAAAAAACATCTATTTCTATATTCTTACTATAATTTTTAAAAGCACAATAGCTAATTAATGTCTAAAAAGTGAGTACAATTATACAGAAACAAATATTTTAACACCAAAGTGAAAAAATATTGCTTTTCTTTCACAAAGTTATTCAAGTATCATCTCATAGCTTGGGGTTTTCTTATAGCTGTGAAGTCAATACAGAGAAATTGTCAGTGTTTTTTGAAATATTTAAGCTTATTCTTTTCAGATCTTAAATACAATACATATCAAATGCCATCTTGTGGCATTAAAGAGAACTGTGTTCTTAAAAAAAAAAAAAGACCAACAAAAACATTCTTACAGACTAATCCAATGCTAGAATAAAATTAGAAATAATTCTCAAAACTGCATGACAAAAAAAGATAAACTTTAATAGATCATTCATACAACAGGAATGTCAATAAGATGCTTACAGGGATCTTACCTTTCCTTAAGAGTCTAAGAATCCATTTTTTATTCACGCAATACTTAGCTTACAGAAGAAAGTCTGGCTGACTAATTTTATTTAAAAAAATATATATTTTTATATCTTTTCGTTGGTAGTTTCTGAGGTATTTTTTTCTTTTATTTACGGACATTTAAGTATTCTAAGCCAGAATTGTGAAACCTAACACACTACAGCCTTTCAAGGGGATACAGCAGTTTGGCTTTGTTTTCTCTCCACACCACCCCCCCCACTACCTCTTCAGTCCTGACTATTATGCTATGCAAAGAAATATCAATCTGCAAATGTTTGACAGTTATTGCTTTTTGGAAAATAACATGCACACTTAAGGAACAAGAAAGCTTAGGCTGAAAGAACAAGAAGCATTTTATATTTACAACACTTGATGAAAGGCAATTACTCTGATGGAAGTGCTAATCTTGTCTTACGTTGTTTTCACATGAAGAACACATTATTTACAATTGGTATTTGGTATATTTTGAAGTTAAACTAGAAAATAGATCCAGGGGGGATAACAGTTAACAAGACAAATTCTACTCTCTGATACAGAAATTCAGAATCAGGCTAAGACCACAGCTGCTATGAAAATCACTCAGTCCAGAAGAGCCTTCACTGCAGTCGTAAAAGCACAGGAGAGATGCTCCTCTATTTGAGAGGGAAGAGCTTCATAGCATTTAAAACTATGTATTTTTCTCTAGATCTGAAATACTTATTTGCCACAAAGTCTACTTCAAATTCAGAAAGAATATTGGTATCAGACACTACTGGGAGAAGCACACCTAAGATTTATATCATCTTCATACACCTTTCAAGTTTGCCACACATGCAGAGCTAAAAGTGAACAGATTGCAATGTACTCGGCACTTTCCCAGGGTACAAGACAAATCAATAAAATACTCAATGATCTCTCCTTCCAAGAGGATGACAGTACCACCACAGAAGAGCTAAGAACATTGTAGTAAGCAAGTAGCAAGTCCACACAGTTTAGCAAATCAGAGGGCAGCAACAGCTCACAGATGTTTTGTAAATCTGACATATTTAAATAGGAGAGATTAATACCTAGCTTTACAAAGTAACAGGAAGAGGAGAGCTGCCGGCACACCAACAGTTCTGGCAAGTGCTTGTCTTCCCTTTGTTATTCTTTTTCAAGCTTTAAGATGACCAAATACAGACACTCACTTCAGGGTCAGCTAACTTTCTTTCCAGGATCCACTGCCTCCCTTGACAGGACTTCCATCGACTTCAGTGGGAACTTAAACACCTACCTCACATATAAACAGCTACATTTTAGAGATCTAAACTTAGGAAAAGGTCTTGCACTGAATTCCATCTCTTGAATCAAGTCCTCAAGCAATATTCTGGGCAATTTCATGCCTATCAGGAAAACCACAGGTGAAAAGAACCCCAGACCAAACTGCCTTGCCTCTTGTCATGCCTTTCAAAATACAAGGTGCCACTTGATCAACTATTTTTCCTCTGCCCTCTAGCAATCTATTTGCTGTCAGATTTAAAATGGACTGTTATATATTTAGAAGTATACAAGATTCCTATTATAACAATATAGTCAGGAAAAAAGTTCTGCAGAAAAAGGCTATACATACGATATTCTGTTAACGATGGCATCTTCATCCTCCTGCTCATCTGAAAATTGAAGTACACCAGGTTATATTCAATACTTAGTTGTCTTTCCTCAGGCGAAAATGAATACACATAAGAATAATTTTAATTTACAATTAAAATTTAGGATTACTAAAACAATTTATTAGCATCAATATTTTAAGAACATTCCTACCAAAAATAAATACCTTTTTTTTTTTTTGCTAGCCTTAAACCGTTTTCAATCAATGTAACCACAAAGTTATTTCATTTTATTTAAATATGCAGACCAAAACTTCCTGAAAACATCTTCCAGAGGACTCTATCGCAAAAAAGCTTTCGGACTGCTACTACCATGGCTGCTGCTAGGAACTGTGCCTTTGGGCATCTCTGAAGCCACAGAAAGCAGGCAAGCTACAGGAAAGTCTTAGAGTCCATACTAACTACTACTATAAATCCCTAAACAGATGTTTCATTTTCAGTGTTAACGTATTCTTAAAACAGGAAAGCATACCCGTAACAATAATGATGACTACTCAGCTGATTCCCCTTACTAATCCCAGCTCCTGGGGATTTGGGGGAGGAGGGGAAGGAGAGGAGTGAGGAGTTGTTGTTCTTGTTTGTTTTGGATTTAAGATACCATGGCTTCCTTTCTCGTATTTCACATTTTATACCACTTCTGTTTACTCATTCCTCAATTAATGCTCCAACTTTTTGAAATATTAGCAACATTTAACTCAGAGGTCAATCACTAATATACCCTTCATTTATTCTTTATATCCTTTTCTACACACATCTGTACACAAATGTATACATTTCTACATTTCAAACAGTTTCAGAGACAGCTTTCTTCTTTTAAATCTCCCAGGTTTTCCATGAGAGTTAACTCAAATTTATTTTAAAATCTAAAAATAAAGCCAGGTGTTTCAAGTTCTTAAGAGTCATGTGCACACTTGAAATAAACATGTAGTCACTAACATCATGTTATTCTGAAATTCTTCTGTGAAAGTACATCGGGTTATTGTTTCTGCTTTTTTGATAGGAACCTCATGGTGTTTTGAGAGACTAAGTCAAGGTCTCTTATGAATCATTTTGGCTAAAGAACGTGTTGTAGAAACAGCAAACAACTTGTCCTGAAAGAATTCCAGACAAGTTAACTCTTCAAACGTGTCTCATCAGGAAGATCCTAGCAGGCTACAAAGTTTTTCTAACTAAATGCTCACAAAGCTTTAATAAAGTCAGGACAGCGGCAGAGCAGTTCCTCTCACTAGCTGATGAGATCAACTGCCAAAAAGATAATAAAAGTTTCTTTACATCCAATAATGTTAGCCAAAGCAGTTCCGCCTCCCTGTTCTCCCCTATCTCCAAATGGTAGCAGCTTTGTAGAATCCAAAATATGTATCAGGATATCCATCTTACTTGTTTAACTATTTCATATGTTTAAATCGGTGCACTTTTATTTTTTTGAAGGTATTAAAAATAAACTCTTCAAGAAATTTAAACATGAATCTGTGAAAGCAGTTCTATCATAACACAGGTCACTACTGCTCAATAAACAGTTTCCATTAAAGTTCAAAGTGGCAAGATCATCGTGCGTAAGAATGATTCTCCGGCATGACTATTACTTAGCACCAAGGTCCCAGATAAACTGTCAAGAGTCAAAAAAATCTGGCATTTTATACAGACTTTTATGCTATTTGTCTTTAGAAGAAACAGAACAAAGTGACAGGGGTTCCTACAGACTAGTTTCAGACAGACAATGTTTTTAAAGGAAAAAAAACAACAGGATTATCCCAAGGAATAAGACTTCAGTGGTGAGGTCATACAGAACAAGTTAAGAACGCTGAAATACCTGTACCTGAGCAAAGCAGGATTTTTGGAAGAAATCCACTACTTCCCTTCTGTATTACTGGCAACCTTTTCACTTTACCAGCTAAAGCTCTGAACTTGATTTTGATGCTAGAACACAGCCTGAAGATACTTATTCTGGAAAAGCTGATGTGAAACAAGAACAACAGGACCTAAAGGCAATGGAGGCAGAAGTGCCTACTTAACATTCTCCCTTTCTTCCCCCTCAAAACAGTTAAAAATTAGACTGTCAGAGCCACAGCACAAGAACTGACTGTGGCCATCCACACCACCTCCGTAACAGCCACCCACTCTCACCCAGTCGCAGAGTGCCAGCTACAGCACTCACTGATCCTTTTCTGAGATGCTCAGGGCACTCCCTTCCTTGGACAGTGGCATTAGAAGGCACATTGAAGGGTCTGAGAAATGACAGAGCAGGCACAAGGGAGGCAATGGAAACTCATGGCTCAGGGGCAAACGAAGCAGAGAGCAAAGACAACAGCATATACAATCAGATCAGTCTGGGCTGCCATGGACCAGCAGCCCAAGAAACTTTTGCTCAGAGATCTAGCTCTTCTGGTTTCCTGTGGAGGCAGGGAGAAAAAGAATCCCCCATTCACTTGAAAAACAAAAATATTTTTTAATATATTAGATATGTTAATATATTAGAGTCTATGCTTACCTGCTTTCCTTTTGTATCTTGTGATTATGAAGTAAGAAACGATGTAGAGAACAGCAAACAGGAGAAAACAGATCTGGAAAAAAATATTGCATTTACTGGGTTGTAAAGAAATTCCTGGATTAGGGTAAGAATAAACAGAAAATTCACTATCAACAATTTAAAATTTAATTCGGGTCAACAAAAGCATATTCTATGTAAATATCAACACTGTTATGTTTTATATCCTATTGATAGAAAGTTAAACCAATAAGAATAGTTTAATTAGAGCAGCAGCTATTGGATTAATTATATCACCAGCAGGTTTTACTCCAAAATTAAGAGAAAAAGCCTTATTTATAGCGAGATTTTTTGTTTGGGGAAGAGGTGGGTAGAGTGGGTTGGGTTGTTTTTTGAAGTTTAAATCCACTTGAGTTGTAAGAGTTATCATGCTCTGTATCCCCTTCACATGCAACCTAAGGGTAATCATATCTTATACAATGGGCTTGTCAAGATCTATTTTGGAGTAACCTATCAACATATGGGGAATGAAGAAAGCAGTTACGTTTACTATTTCCATCATGTCTTGAATCAAACAAATTTCAGGCAACAATGCACTCAAGAGACTCATGTGCCTACAGTGGATGTCCAAGCGTGAGCTAGTCAAACATGATGTTTCCTTTACAGTCAGAAGCCAAGGGCACAATTTCCCTCCTCATTAAGTAGCATATTTAAGTCAGATGTACCTTGAGCCCAGCATGACTTGCATCAAGTTGTTTAAGATTTAGCACTAGAATTTCAAAATGGTAAGACCAAAACACCTACAAATATGTTGGAAATCTTGGAGTAAATGAATTGAACAGCAAGATAGTTTTAACCCTCCAAGCCTTTCTGGGAAACAAAAAGAAAAAAAAAAAAATGTACTTGTTCCTGAGTGAGGCATTGGTGGATCAATACTTCTTTGTTGATACCTATTAAAAACATGAGTCAGTCAGAAATGCAACAAGAATGAAGCATGCCATCCTGTGATGCTGTGGCCCTGAGCAGTACCTGAGCACTCACTGACCAGCCATCGTGGTTTGAGCTCAGAGGGCAACGAGTCACCATGCAGCCGCTCACTGCCCCCTTGCCCCCCAGAGCTGAGAAGGAGAAAATAAGCAACAGCTTGGGATTCGAGATAGGACAGGCAGGGATAAATCACCCATTATGGTCACAGGCAAACAACAGATTCATTAGGGGAAGAAAAAAAAGAACATAAATTTATTACAGACACTAACAACAATACTTAACAGAGTAGGACAGTGAGAAGCATTGCCACATCTTGAGAACACCTTCCCCCACCCCTCCCTTCTTCCTGGGCTCAGTTCTGCTCCCAATATCTCTACCTCCTTCCCCCAGCGGCGCAGGGGCAGGGAATGAGGGTACAGTCAGTGCTGCCGCTTCTTCCTTCTCAGGGCAGGGGAACTTCTAGAACTTTTTCCCCCTGCTCCAGCATGGTGCCCCTCTCACAGGAGACAGTCCTCCACAACTTTTCTCCAACATGAGTTCCTCCCACAGGCCTCAGCATTTCCCTACACTGCTCCAGTGTGGGACAGCAACTTTCTCCAATTTGAATCCCTCCCCCAGGCTGCAGCCCTTCCCAAGCTGCTCCAGTGTGGGACACCCAGCACGCTGAAATCCTCCCAGTACTGAACTACAACAGCAGGGGCTGCTTCTTCCCAGATTCCCTGTTGCCTTCAGGCGCAGCTACCTTAATTGACCATGTGAGGCCCCTCACAGGCCATAAATCAGTGTCTGCTCCACTGTAGACCTCCATGGGTGGCAGGGGCAGGCCTCCTTACCATCTTACCACAGGATACAGGGGGATCTCTGCTCCGGCACACCTCCCCCCTCCTTTCTTCCTCTGTTCCTCCACTGACCTTGGTATTCACACAGCTGTCACAACTCCTTCTCACAAGTCCCACTCCTCCTCCCAGGTCCCTTCTTAAATATGTTATCGCAGAGCTAATTGGCTCAGCCTTGGTGCAGATGTGGGGCCAACTTCGAGCCTGGGGAGCTTCAGGAAGCTTCTCACAGGGGACTACTGCTGTAGCCCCATCCCCTGCTACCAAAAAAACCCACCACTTACTCAAACCCAGAACACCCATGCTATGTACCAATGCTGTATTTGCTTTCTGTTAGCTTGCAGGAAATAGATGACCTGCACAGCACAGGCAGAGAAGCTACATGAAGTAGCCCAAACTGTTAAAATTCTTTTGCTTGTGCACAATACTAGTAGCCACCTAGTAAGTCTTAACAACCAACTGAATCAGGCAAAATTCTTGTAGCAGTTTTTAATAGTAAAGTGAGTTTGCCCTATTACCTGTACAAGGTGCTTGGGGTTTTTTTGTTTGTTTGGCGTTTTTGTTGTTGGTGGTTTTGGGGGGTTTTTTTATTTATTTATTTGCCCTGCCTGGATCTGGAATTCATAATGTTAGCACCCTAAATGTGTTCTACTTCAGTCTGAGCTTTAACCTCCTCTGTGATCTGCAATTGTAAAATTACTTCACTAGGCAACAGCTGATCTATTTCTTTAATCAATCATTAAAGATTTGTTGCCTTTAAGAACTCACTGTCTTAAAATCAGGAGCAAAAAAGCTACCTTAAGTGAAAGGAAAAAACAAGAGTTAAGGTAGTGATAGACCTTAAAAATTTACATCAGAAAACAGCATATTACATCCACATCAGCAGAATCGGAGGGGAAAATAACAGATCACTCAGTCGGGAATGACAGACTGTTTAAGTACTAATAAAAATAAACTTGGACTTATTTCTTTTGTGTAGTCAGACATTTTAAATAAAAAAAAAAAAAAAAGTATAGCCAAGTGTTTGAGCCTGGCATTTGGATGCCTGCAACTGCCCTACGCATGTCTCCCAGAAGTATTATGGTGCCATAGGCCTGAAAGCAGCAACTGAGCTCATTCCCTGAGCAGGCAACACACAGCAGTGATACCTGAAATACGGATGCTGAAAATCAGATTTCATAACTAGATCTCTGAATTTAAATATTTAATCTGAATAGAATTTACCACTCCAACTTTCTAGAGGATACTTCAAAGAGGAAAAGGTTTTGATAAATAATTTCATTCTTCAAATAATTTATTCTATTAATAAAGAACTTTACTAAGATTTAATAAAAAAAATATTCTAGTATATTTTTGAATCACGGAGAACAAAAGAAACTGAGAATAGCCTTGGGTTTTTAGAGTACTCTGACACAGCTTGTTCTGTCAGTATCAGAAAATTCAATGTCAGTGCTGAAAGAGTCCTTCCCAAGTTTCCAGTTCCTCTGAAAACTAGACCAAGGCTACAGAAAGAGACATCTAATTTTAGGCATCCACTTTTGAAAATCAGGTATCACATATACGGGGTCAGTAAAATTCTTTAAAAATCTGTCAGACCCAAACACTGCTCCAGTGTAAAACAAAGATATAGCTAAGCTCATTTTCAGTTTAATTTTATTTAAGACAAGAATAAAAAATACTGCAGTCTTGTTTGTATCTTCAAATAAAATAGATGACCTTTATCCTATCTGTGATGGCAAGATTTCAATGAAAATGTGGGTCTTTACTTATAAGGTACCACTGAGATAAATGAAGTATTTTGAGGGCACAGCAGATAAAAGATGTCCAGTAACACGAACCGGCAAATGTTGCATTTCTATTTTAAATGACAGCTACTTTGCAACTCAGCAATAAGGTCTAAGTATGTATCTTGGTGAAATTATCCCTCTACTTCTGTCAGAATTGATAACACTGTAAATATTTTATAAAGTTGTTTATTACTGAAAATACACATTATTTTAAAGTTATCAGCAAGAAAATAAATCAATTCTGATCAGCAAAAGCTTTAGGATCTTAACAAAAGTGAATTCATAAATTAAAAGTCTTTCATATTAACGAAAACAAGTCAATAAGCAAATTCAGAAATATTACTTCAGTCTCCAATTATACTTAGTGAAACCTATGATTCTGAAGTGTTTATAACCATGCATTCTGAATAGCTTTCCAAAGGGAGTAGCAAAAGCCAGTATCCTAACTATTTTTAGAGTGGAGCTCAGTCAAGTTGGGGAAAAGGAATGTGCTGCCCATGATACCCGAAGAATAGACTCCACTGTCCTGTCACGCTGCAATCCTGAGTTCTTACTCCTCACACTGCTCTTTGTTTCAGGATATTTTTGTACTGCAAAAAAAAAAAAAAAAATAGCCCCTGTTTGTACTTGTTCTAGCCTCAAATCATGTTTCTCAATTATAAATGACAAGGCTTGTATGTAATACTCCAGGTAAGGTCTTAACAGCTATAGATAAACAGCACTAAGCCTTTCCTTCTGTACTGAAAATACTTCAACACATTCACCTGATAATCATGCCAGTAACTTAGCATTACTCTCTAATCGCTGAATCCATCCACACTGTCCTCTCCAACTGCTTCCAGCAGAGCAGCTCTCAAGTTACAGTAGAAACTTTTTAGGGTTCAAGTTCATTCACCATGTCTTTTTTTTTTTTACCTTTTAAAAACCACACCTTAACTTCCTACTAGACGTATTATTTTGTGGTAATTGAGTCCCTTCTGCACCATGTTCTAATCCTCCTTTGTATTTACTGTATCTCCCAAAGAACTGGTTTTGTGCTAACAGAATGGTTTACTTCATTTTCATCTAAATTGAGCAAGATTGCTCTTAATACTGATACCTGAGGAAACTGAATAGTAGCTTTTTTCCCCCCCAAACACAACACCTATTGTCATGTACACTACAGCCAGTTTCTTACTCACTTCACAGCTCCTCTACTAAGGCACACTCACCATAGTTTAAGAAATACCTTTCAATGCATTTTGTGGATATAGCTCTTGGCATAGGTAAAAGAAACACTACCAATAAACACGTGGCCTCAGAAAATACAGTTCTTAACAACTTCTAATTTTACTTTCCTAAAAAACCCTTAAAAGAGGGCAAATTCACATGTGCATGTTCATAGTACCTTAAATCACCTGTCAACTTTCATTTCTAATCACTTACTAAAAAGCACAGGTAGCCAAACTGAAATAGGGCACTAATCA